TACTTACCTACCTACCTACCTACCTACCTACCACTTATCTACCTACCTACGTACCTACCCACCTACCTACCTACCTACCTACGTACCTACCCACCTACCTACCCACCACATTCACATAAGATAATTTAGACAAAATAATCTTTAAACGCCATTTATTCCATATATCTCCGTATATTAAGCCGAAAGTCAGACTAAAACTAAAAAATTTTTCTCCCTAGGTATACTTCTGGACAGGCTCTCCGGCCTTACCAGCAAGCGAGGACGGCTTCCAACCGATGCCAAGTGTCACCATCCGACCTGTCGATGATGCTCATCTTCCAACGGCCAATACCTGCATATCGCGTCTCTATGTTCCCCTGTACAGCTCGCGTCATGTTCTGCGTCACAAGCTCCTGCTCGCCATCAAAACGAAAAACTTCGGCTTCGTTTGAAGAGATGAAGCGATTGTAATCGCTTTCTCGGCCCAGTCACCTACACTTCCCATATTACTCCCTTCATACGAAATAACGGGAAACTTGAAAATTTTCAATTTCAATTTTAATCGATAGGCATTGTTTTTAAAATTGAGTTATTTATTTGGCCTTATTTCTATTTTGTATTTGTAAATTTACGAACTGTTACAAGATAAGGAATAAAATAATGGTGTGAAATTTGTAACACATTTCATGGTGCGATGGTGTTGGTACTGACTATAGCATATTTTTTGGTAATATCAAAACACGAGGCTCGCGTACGATGTGAAAAAATGTGAAATCACAATTAGAAATAATTAAAGTATTTGAAAAATACAGCAATTGTTCAGCATCCTACGTGTTGAATTGCGTATATTGAATTATAAAATAAAATATAGAAATATATTCTTGCTTCTCACATATATTTATAAAATAAGAATAGACACATTTACCTTTCTTCTTTTCTTTTTTTTAACAGTCAGGTTTTTATCATATGTTCAGCTGCTTTTCTTTTTTTTTTTTTTTAACTTCTATTGCAATTGTGGACATTCTACTAGTTAAATGAAAATTCATAACATAAAAAAATGAATGGGGAAACATTTCATTTATACTGCCTTACCTTTAAACTGTTAATAAATAAATTTTTTAAATATTACATAAGAATAATTCAGTTATGTAATACTTCAATAACTATCGATTAAATAATTGAAAGGTTCGAAATGGAAGCTCATACAAGTTCCCGATTTTCCTCCCGCCTTCAGAATGGAAAACGAAAGAAAAATAAACGAACGTAAAGTGATGAACAGACAAAAATTACAAAAAAAAAATATATATATATATATACGTTGTTATCTTTCTTTCATTCTTTAGCTTTCTTCCTAGAAAAGAGTTTATAACATTTATAAATTTATAAAGTGTAATTATTGAACATTATTGCTCTTGAAAAGACGTCATACGATGAACGGTGTATTGCTTCTCGTTTGAATATCAAAGTCTTACGTTTAAAGTGTCATATTTAGCCTTTATATAGTGACCCGAAGTAATAAAACTTTCGTAAAAATCAAAAAAGATTTATTCCACGTGGATCCGAGGGACTCTACTTTTACTATTATTATTTCTTTTTCTACTTGCACAATCTACTTTAAGTAGATATTGAAATTTTTTTTAGTTTTATTTAGATTTCTATTATCTTAAATAAGTAGAATGTTTTATTAAAAAAAAAAATAAAATAAAAAAAAAAAAAATTCGCAGTCATTTAATGTAATTTAAATAAATAATACAACCTTGTTACAAATTTTAATGATGTATAATGAAAATTATATGTCTCTTTTTAAGAAAATAAGTAAATTAACAAAAAATAAAATAAATAAATAAAGTGATAGAACAACAACAAAAAAAAAAAAAAGAAAGAATAAAGATGTGAAAAACAAAGCGAAAATGATTGATTTTATATAAATTTTAATTTATCTTTCGTATAAGCCAATTTAATATTTCAGTTTTTAAACTTTATTTCGTTTCATACATTTAATTTTTATAAATATAAATAATATAGTTTATTATTCTAAAATTAATTGATGACTGCGTTTTTTTTTCGTTTTTTTTTCGTTTTTTTTTTTTTTTTTTAAATATAAATTTTTAAAACAAATTAAGAACTTAGCGTCGGTGAACAAGGTACCGAAAAAGCCTTCGGAAGACTATAAATTAATAAAAATAAAGAAAAACTTGGTGATTTTTTTACAATTAAAATTTTTTTATTAGGCGTGTAATAATGTAACATAAGATGTAGACAGAATACGAATTTTTGTCGAAAATGTGTTTCGCGTACACATCAAGAGCAGATAAGCGTTTGCTCACGCAATTATTTTTGCTGTTACTTATGTTACGCACCACCCTTATGAAGAAAAAAAAAAAAAGAAAAAAAAAACTGCACTACACAAGCGAGGTGTAGTTTAAAATATGAAAACGTCATTGGAATTTCAAATAAATGCATAACTCAATGCAAGAACAAAAAAAAAAAAAAATTGAATTATCAAATCACTCGACGACAGATAATTTTGAGTTTTTCATTTGTCTTTACACATTATATACGCAATTCTATGTCTCTTTGGAGTTTTCAGTTGAAGAAAATTCACGCTCATTACTTCGATTTCGTCGACGGGTTTTGTGTCTACTATAGGCTTTGGTATTTTTTTTTTCTTATTTAGATTTTGTCGATTTTTATTTGTTCCATTTGATGTAGCCAATAAAGATTTGTTGTAGAGTCGCTGATACGAGATTAAACGGGAGTTAGGCTTCTTTCTAGCTGCCGTTTCTTTTAATTGTATTTAAAAATCTTCGCTCGTTCTATATGTCCGTAAGATTTACAGTAAAAAAAGCAATTCACTTTCACTTACTTCTAAATCGCAATTCCTCTTTTTTGCTGACTCGCAGCGAGAACTTGTTTTTTTTTTTTTTTTTTTTTTAACTTTTTTTTTTTTTTTTTTTTGTATTACATTTAAAGACAAAACAAAAAAAATATTAATAAAAAAAAAAAAAAAAAACAGTGTTTAATTGCAATTCTAAACTTTTTACACAATACTCGTATCACGTATTTCCATTATTTTCTTTCTTGCCTATAAACGATAAACTGAAACGGTAAAAATTAATCTACGCACGTTGAATCATTTGTATCGTTCGATCGATTGTGTTTTTGCGTGGTGCTTTTTAATTTTTCATTCGTAATTTTTCTTTTTTACAAAAAAAAAAAAAAAAAAAAAAAAAGAAAAAAAAAGAAAAAAAAAAGACGGAAAGAAAAACGGAGGAAAACTCACTAACGCACTATCATGTATAATATAATAAATCTCATTATTTATAAATTTCTAAAAATCGTAAAGTTATATACAATAATTATATTATCCATTATGTATTTCGACGAGGGTATTTTCGATGAGAAACTTATGTACAAGCGGTTACCTATTGACCACTTCCCGAATTGTTGATGGGTAATTTCGTGGTCGTCTGACTTAGCTGAGCCAGGGTTTCCGGCGTGGCATGAGCCTTTAGGATCGAATTCTCTGCTTCCAGCTGATTAATACGATCCATCAGTTCGGCTATTTTTTCTTTTAGCACCTCGACTTCCTCCCGCACAGCGAACATCAAATGACTTTTCACCAAATCCTAGAAGCACGCGATAAATTTTTCTATTATAGAATTTCTCTCTCACCACATGCACACTTTATATAATGCAAATTATTATTATAAATATGTTAATTAGGAAAAATTAAAATATCTGAAATTACTATTTGAAATGTGTAACATTAAATAAATTTGCAATTTATTGTTATATTTTCATACGGATTGTTAAATGCGTTAACTGTAAGGGCAGACGTAGTTCGGTAGAACAATTGAGTGAATTGAGTTTTTAAATTTTTACAGTGTAAGCGCATCGGATTACAATAGTGATTATTATTGATTGTAGGGAATATTAATATTGTTTAAAACAAAACAAAACGAAAAAATTGTGAAATTATAAAAAATCTTTGAGATGATATTGCAAATGAAATTTTTATAAAATATTTATTCACATAATTTAATACAATGCGTGTATTAATAAAATTTAATTGAAATCAATAATTCTTTTATATGTAATTTCATTTACAATGCGACTTTTAGCTCCATCAGTTTGATCACACTTTATAGAATACATTAAATGTTTTATGTAACTTAGGTTATTAGCATGTATAATATAATTTATCTAAGAATTTGAAAAATTGTTAATATTTTATAAATTTTTACACTTATGTTTGTATTTTAATTATCTTATTATAAAATATAAAAATTTAGATATATTTAAAATACAAATTGTAATTATCTAGCATATATATATATATGTGTGTGTGTGTGTGTGTGTGTGTGTGTGTGTGTGTGTGTGTGTAATTTACGATCAATCCTTGATTGAAAATATATTATTTTCAATTCTGTAAGTCCAACTTTTTTGAGAATTAGAAGTGTGAACAAAATGCATTTTCCATAGATTTTATAATATCCTGTCTTTTGCATCTTAGATAATGGTATAATAATCAAATATTATTTTTATTCGCTTAACGATTGTTCAATTACAATACGATTATAAGAAAATTTATTAAACATTCTAAATGGAAATTTCAGATTCTAATATAATGAAATCATTAGAAATGGTGATAATGTAGTGTTATGGTAAGATTTTTATAAATTTTGAATTTACAAAATTATAAACAAATGAGGTGTGTAAAATCAAACATTTTTCTTTTACAATTGTCGATAATTTGATTCAGGGCAATTTCAATCGTTCAAAAATAAAAGACGCGATAGATTTACTTTTAATCAAAACAACGATTAAATACACACGCGCGCGCACCCACCTCCCACGCATATATATATATATATATATATATATACTTATCATAAAATTTTATAAGCATAAGTTGCTTTTCTATTAAAAATAACATATAATGTAGTTTTGCTTTAAATATTATCAACATATAATCGAATTTCATTGCTTAGCTGCAGATTTTTCACACCAATTTTGCATAATAATTCGAATTTTCTGAGAATTCTCGAGCAATCTATTTCACACAATTAGAGTAAGCTTGAGTTTAACTATCTAAGTAACGATTTAAGAAAATTTTAAGTACTTACCATAGCTTGTTCGATTTTATTGTCGATTGCTACAGCACTTGTCCCCGACATACTGTAAATGATACAATCAATTGTCATTCTTACGATTAAGACATACTTTTCACGGAAACATAAATAAAATGATTTCGGTACAAATTGAGTAGGAATCCCACTCATTACTGAATTTAATAATAAAGTTTTTTTTTTTATAACTGTATAAATTATTATAATAGCATTTAGCTTTTCCATCCTTCACTATTAAATAATAAAATATGTTTGAAAATTAAGTAGCTTATTAGAATGATCTAGCAATATTAGAAATTTCATATTTCTATTTAAAACACTATATACATTTATAAAGTGATCGAATATTTATGAAAATGTATATTAACTTTGGAGCTGTATAATTTTCATGAATTAAAAATAAATGATATAAAATAACGATACATATAGATATACATATATATATACATATATATATATATATATATACATTTTTTTTTTAATATAAAATCGGTTCTAATTTTTAATCTAGCGTCGCCTTAATGTTAAATTACCTTGATTTAAATCTATAACAATTATTAATTTTTTTCTTCTTCTTTTAATGTAATTAAGCCGAGCGTTAAGCTTTCATCATTATTTCGATGAGTTTGCTTTATTTAATGAAAATCGTCTAACGAGAGCAACAGCAATAATAATATTATGAATAAGAGGAGATTGAGAAAAATAAATTACTTTTAATAGTAATTAATGAGTTAATTGACATTGTCTCGTGATATGAACGGCTAATTTCCGTGGTGATTTTTATGGGAAAAACTCAATGAGGATCGACCGATCGTTCCATTACGCACGCTCGATGTTTGTAAATTCGACTAAATCGTGATAATAATGGTTGCAACCTTTCGTTATCTTCGTGAGTTTGGTGGTCATCGATATTCTGTGTAACCTCGGCGAGCGATTCGAGGAGCGCGGCGTCAGTAGTTACGGTCTGGCTCGCCGCCGCCGCCGCCGCCCCGGACACCACCATACCCGACAAGGAGTCCTGCTCCTGGTCAGGCTGCTGCTGTTGCTGCTGATGAAACGTCATGTTACCCTGTTGAATGGCACCGACCATCTGCACCTGACCAGCTGCGGCCGCACCAGTGGCCGACTGTTGTTGCTGAGGCCCAGACTGTATCTGCCCAGTCGCTGCCATCACCTACATTTTCACGTTTCGTTAATATCTTTGTTATTATTATTTTTTAATTCATTTTATTTGTCGATTGTTAATGCTAATTGCTATAGGTGGGAGGGCAATTGCGGATTCGGAGAATATTTGGTGAACCGACGTTGCATGAAGCTTTCTTTCTTTCCTTTTTTTTTTTTTTTTTTTTTTTTTTTTTCATAAGTATTATTCAAATGAGTTTTGATTTTTTAATGATTCTATTAATAAATCGTCTGGGTTCGCAACAAATCTAACTTTTTATTGCAACTTATAAATAAAATACTCGAGGCTAAGCGATTTAAAAAGTTAATTAATTTTTTCATTTTAATTATTTTGTTTTGTCTATGTTAAAAACTGTTCTAATAATATTTCTAAAATGTATTTAACTATCTTATGCCTAATTGTAAGAATTCCGTATGTAAAAGATAAGATATTGAAATTTTTGTGAAAACGAAAAGATATGTAGATGAATGAGACAGTCTAATTTTACATGATATGGGAAGAAGAAGTAAATTCTATTGGATCGTTTTTAATTAGCGTACTCGATATTGATACTCGACCGGTTGATAATTTTCAATAAATTTATAAACAATATAACAAACTATTTATACTTATCATACTGTACTATAAAATGTGGATTGGACATTTTGAAGGAAAGATTTCGAAATAACAAACGCATGTCTATTATAGAAGCATAATCGAGGTAATTCTGTTCGACCAAAATGAGTGGCCGCTATGCTACATTGTAATAAAAATTAATAATAATAATGGGCGTGTAAAATAATGTAATATATAATAATTGAAGCAATTTTGGCGAATTAAGTGTATTGATACTTATTTTTTTTTTACTTCGAAATCATATTTTCTACTGTTTTTAATTTGTTTTTAATTTATGAAATTGATCGATAATCCTAGGAGGAGGAGCAATTGGCAAAATCGGTAAAGCTTGTGGCAATCAAGCAGAATTTTCACTTTCGCTATAAAAAAAAAAAAAAAAAAAAAAAAAATAAAAAAAAAAAAAAAAAAAAAAGGCCATTTTATTATAAAACTCGTTTGTCATTTTACTATTCTTTAAACATTAATTTAATTACATCGTCAGGAAAAACCGAGTATGTCTTCATACAATTATATGCTTTTTCTCATAAAACTGTTTAATAAAAATCTTATAAAAATCTAACTCTTAATTAACTATTTTTATAAATTTTTCATTTTTATTACAGTATTATTAAATGCAGCGGAAAATTGCTTAACTCGCGAGTACATCTAATTTCTAGGCACATAGCCAGTGAAATCTAATAACAAGAACAATCGGGGGTTTTGAGTGACTATTTATCAATGTACTATTATTACTTACAACACAACACTCATACATAATTTCATTAGTTTTTATATATTTCAAATTGTAAATCTTTGAAAATGTTTGTTGCAAGAAGAAATCAATCAATCCTTTAAGTCTCATTACAACCTCAACTTTTGTTTCATAAGATATTTTCATAATACATTTGCATGTAAATATATTATTAATGAAAATAAAAAAATAAGTATTAAGAAAAACATTGCAATTGTATTTAATTTACACGTGTTCTAATTTAATTATCCAATTAAATTTGTCAACATTTCTATTACTATATTTTAAAAATATAGGCTACAGGCTTATAATAAATATTTTATAAAAGTGACTTTAACCTGAACTGACACACTTTGAAACTGCTGCACTTTGGCACATTGCACGTAACTGACGTTTTTTTAGAGTCGTTATTCCTTACATAACTGAAGGACTTTATTTCGATCGCGTATTTTAATTAATTAGCACTTTGCCATCTAGTGGTAAAAAAAAAAAAAAAAAAAAAAAAAAAAAAAAAAAAAATGACAATAAAAAAATCTGCCATAATAATGTATGGAAAAAGTGTTTGTTATGAAAATGTAAAGGAATTATATTATAAAGAAAATAAAATATAGAAAAAATTTATATTCTATCAAAAGTATGTTAAAAGTAGCATGGCTTCACAAATCTGTCGAACGAACGTAACACCGACAAATACAATCTACAAGCTTAAAATAGCATTTAAAAAGAACTGTGAAACCATCTAAATTCTTTTGCAATTTCTTTATGATTTTAATGATACGATATACACGCAAACACGTAACTCGCGGTTGTACACGAAAACATCATAAATAAAAGAAATTAACTAAACATTATTAATCAAGTATAAAGTGTAAGTACGAATAAAATAAGCCCTGCATCTGTTTGCTATTAAAATGTGCGATCGAAGTTATAAAAACTAATTACAAAATCGAGCATTTGTATGGATAGTAGATAGTTAGAAAAGAAAAACGAAAAAAAAAAAAGAAGAAATTTTAAATCTATAAATTTATATAAAAATTTTACTAGGTAATCAACAATAAGGATTAATAAATTAAAATTGACATATAATTTATCTTGGCAATATAAAATATGAGATCGGTAAGGCTCTATCGGTAAAGTAGTTCAATGAGAAAAAATTAAACTAACTCTTGATGAGTAGGTTTTTAAGAACAAAATCAATGACCTGCGACTGCTGCTGTAATTGCGGTGGCTGTTGCTGCTGTGGAGGCGGCGCTGCACTGGGCTGAGGAACTTTGTGTATATTCTGAATGCCTTGTATTCCCTGCATCGCAGCTATCGAGTCGGTAATTTGCGTTTGCTGTGACTGTTGCTGCTGCGACGTCGGCTGCTGCTGCTGCTGCTGCTGGGAGACGAGCATACTTGGGGGTTGAGAATTTTGAGGCGCACCGGTACTCGGCTGACAAACGTTTTGTGCCTGGGGTGGCATCGGCTGGACCTGCGAGCTCACCGATACGTACGTCGTTTCGTCATTAGGATGCGGAATATTTTGTTGCGACTGGGTCGCTACATTATTAGCTTGCGTAACAGGACTGAAAATTAAATGTTTAAAACGTTACAAATATATACCATACCTATTTGAAATTATGTGATTCGTAATAAATTTTACAGAATACTTTTGGAGTTAAGATTTTTTTTGTATACACTTTTCAGTCTCATAGATGTTCTTTCTTTATTTAATTTTCAACTTGTTGTTCTTACAACATCATTTACATTCTTCTAAATAGAAAGTATCAACACCGATTGTTTAACACTGTAGTCACTTTATGCCGTGCTATTTCATAAAACTGATATTTTGCAAATAATATGAAATAGCTAGTATTTCTCAAAGAGAGAGCACAAATGTTGAAGAAGGACTTTCGTCGATAGAAATTAATTTTTAAAATCAAAAAGCAGCGGATAAGGCGATAAATTCAGTAAATGAGCAATGAGTTTGGAGACGCACCATCCTTGGGGCGCGAGGATTGGAATAGTGCCTTGGGGCATGCTCTGCGTTTGGCCAATATTATTTGGATGAGCAGATTGCAGGTTAGTCGGTAAGGTTGTTCCCTGGCCGGTGGTCTGCTGCTGCTGTTGCTGTTGCTGTTGAGACTGTTGCGTCTGTGAAGCCGACGATTGAAAGTATTGCGGAGGCACCTGCTGTTGTTGCCCCGGGACCGCGTAAGCGCCTGCACTTATCGACGGATGTTGCTGCTGCTGCTGCTGCTGCTGCTGCTGCTGTTGTTGTTGCTGTTGCTGCTGTTGTTGTTGTTGTTGTTGCTGCTGCTGCTGCTGCTGCTGCACTTCCTGATGCAAGGATCCATTAACGTCGATGACGAGGCTCATATCGTCGACCTGTTGTTTGTTTACTGAATCGGGTACGACGATGCCGGTGTCGGTTACGCCATACGATATGCAGACTTCATTTGGATCGGAAACCTTGGACGTGCTTATCGCCGTCGGCTGGTTCACCGACGTATGGTCCAGGTAGTCCATGCAGGTCCATCTTCCACGTTTGAATGGTTCTGTGCTTTCGATTTTCACAACTTTGAACCTTTCGTTTCTACCTGTAATTATTAAAATTTACACGTCCCATTACTTTTCTTCATTTTCACAATTGAATAAAAATTTTATCTAAATAATACAGTCGATTGTCCTCTACAATAGCTGAGGCTGTCTTTTTAATTAAATAAATATATAAATATAGGAATAATTAAATGGAGAGATAGATAGTAAATATTTTTGAAAGTCTTGAGTGTCGTATATATAATTGAATTCGTTCTTTTTAAAATATTCTTTACATAAGTTTAAAAGCTTCTAATTAATAACAATCATAATAATCGCCAAGCGAGCGAATATATGCATAAAATTAGCAATGAATATTTAGCTCAATATAATCATTAAAAAATCAGAATGCACAAAATTCTCAACAAGATTATCAAAATAATTGTTTAAATGTATGGATTAAGTAAGCGAGCATTTATTATATAATACTTCCATTATTATAACCTTGAGATATTCTCATAGATTTTCCCTCGATATTTCATACGACAATGTAATAGTTAATTTAGTTGACACATAAACTTGCAGATAAAAAGTAAGTTTTTAAATAGATGATAAATGTTCATTATTCAGCCGATAAAACAGTTTTACAGAAAATTTCATACCACTCTGTAATCGGAAAATTTGCGTTGTTGCCAAATCTTTGCAGCTTAATAATCATTGGATGTTCGTAAGACTGTTTTCATAAACAATTTTCTCTAAACAATATTAATAAAACTAACAACAGGGACAGTCGATTCATTGATAAAATACGTCCTTGGTGATTATTTTTTTTTTTTTTTTTTTTTTTTGGGCAATCGAACGTACGCTCGCTCTTACCGTGTGAATGGACTTCTCTTAGATCGGAATCCTGCTTGGCGTTGCTCGACAACAAATTGATAATATTATTATCCGTTACAGAGGTAATATCCAAAGTATTGATGTTGCTGTCATTGGTGGAATTATTGGTGTTGTTGGTTTCCGAGGACGGCACTATTGCTAATCCGTATTGCGAGCTCGTAGGTATGACGGGAGCCGTGCTGAGAGCAGCGTTGCTGGCATTAAAGAAAACGTCGTCCTTGGAGAAGGTGTCCTCGGAGTAGCTGGGTGTCTCGATGTCCGTCAGCCTTGAGTGCTCGACGCTGTTGTCCTCCGTGTGGGACTCGTCGAGGTCGTCGTTCGAGTCCTCGCCGGCATCGTTGCTCATGCGACATCCAACTGTGACGCTGGTGATTTGGAAGGAGGAAGTTTTCTTTGTTCGACATTGGGCGGTATTATTCGGGGTGTTGTTCGGGGTGTTGGGTGCCGAGTTACCGACGGGTATCGGCATCGAGCCTAACGACTGACCATGGTGGTGGTGGTGATGCTGCTGGATTTTACCTGCAAGTCGCGAGGTTGGCATTTATCAGACAAATTAATTTACTTTTTTAATTAAATTCTACGGTCATTTGTTTTTATTTTCAGACTGGAAGCATAATTGTAATCGTTTGATAGGATAGATTATTCATAATAATATTACGGATGTTGGGCCTAAATAGTGAAAGAATAATTATAAGGATTTTGATTACTTTTAAGTAAACTTTTTGGCGCTATCACATAGCATAAGCTCTATGATTTACGAGTTTTAATCGAAACAATTTACTTATACTATATTCTTCTACTGGCGAATTATTAAGAAATCTAATTTAGATAAATAGAATGGAAGGAAATTGAATGAAATTTTTTTTTAATTGATTTATTTAATGTTTTAGATAAATTTAAGAGTAAATTTAAGAGTAAATTTAAGAGTAAATTTACTCCTCGCTTATTATGTCCTGAATTTCTTAATGATTTCTTACTTTATTTTTCATATTAATCAATAAAATAATTAACATACAGAAATATAGATTATTAACTCACATTGAAATTTACATGTTTCTTTTTGTAAATTATTTTATCAAATGTCACTATGTTGCGTGCATATTATGAATGTTATAAATTAACTGCCCAGAGACGATTTTTTTTTTTTTTAGAACAACAAACTATATTCGTTCGTGAAACTTTAACAAAGTTGACGCAAATATTCTTAGTCATTGATAAAAAGTTAACAATAAACGTTCTTAATAAATTCAAAATAAGGACCAGTTATTAAAGACATTAACAAATTTTATGCTTTTTCTTTATATATATATATATATATATATATATATATATATATATATAATCACGATATATCGAACGTTAGAAGAGATTTATTAATCGCATTGGTATTCAATGAAATTTATAAACTCAAATTTTAATACTAAGCTTTTCTTTACGGCCTCGACACTTCTATGCGATAATATTGCTTATAAATGTCATAATATTGCCTATAAACCAATATAATTATATTAAATATAACTAGTAAATAATCGAGAAAACACTTGTTCAAAAAAAAAAAAAAAAAAAAAAAAAAAAAAAAAAATGACAAAAATAATGGTACCAAGATCTTTTTAGAGTCACCATGTAAATATCATACCAAGGCATTGAAAGTCGTGGGGGGAGGGGGGAGGGGGGGTTTTGAATAATTCAATATACCGTATTCTCTCGGTATAAAAGAAAGTGGCTTCTTACCAGGATTGTCAATCGGTTCGCCCAGTCGTATCGTCTCGGTGGTGGTGCGGTGTACTGGCGCTGAAATTTTTCGGGTAGGTATTTGTCCGGAGCCACCACCACCGCCGACGCCGACGCCACCGCCGCCGCCACCATCCGCCGGTGATGATAACTTATGCGACGGTTTCCTAAGAACATTGTCCGCCATATCGCCGTTGCCGCTGCTGTGCGCTCCTGCCGTTTAGCAGGGAACAACGGATATAACGACACGATGCACCGCAATGTGCTGCTGCTGCTGCTGGTGCTGCAAACCCCCGCGTATGTTTTTCTGCTCCGAGGCGCATAGTAAAAACGACATGTCGTTGCGATGATGCACCGCTGAGCGCCTGCTCGCACGACAACGATGGCGTTAGGATTCTAGGAGGATGGTCCAGTTTACTGAAAACAAGGCAACGAGATTAATTATCTGGTTCATCGTTAGTGGAATGTATAGAGAAATCGGTGACATTTCAAAATAGACGTGCACATCGTTATACCGTCGTACTTCTACATTTTTATTTTTATTTTTTATCATAATTCAAATTCTCTTTCAGCTTTATATGTAACTTCATGCATATAAAACAGTTTTATAACACGATTTACAGAAGTTTTAATTTACCTAAATGACATTAAATTTGTACATGTGGATATAAATATTTATTGTTTTTTAGATTTATTTTTTTTTATATTTTCTTTTTGTAATTAAAATACAATTTCCGTTGCAGCTGTCAAAAAGCATAAAAGTTTTATGAAAAAAAAATTAATTTATTAAAATATTAAAATAGATTACAATAAAAGTCATTAAAATTTTGTATTCCATATTGGCAATTAAAACAAAACAAAAAAAAAAAACAAAAAAAAAAACAAAAACAAAAAAAAATAACAATAGAAAGAATGAAATCCTATTTATATACAATATAACATAATTTACTTATATATCTTATAATCATTAGAGTAAAATTATCTGGATATTTATAATAATTAATTATTAGATTTAACCTTAATGAAATCTTTGCAAGTTATAAATATACATATTACAAATATTATATACTATTAATAATAATACACATTGTAAAGGCCAATAAAAAATGACAATGACTAAAATGATTTGAAAAAGGTTTAAATTAGGTATTAAAAATAGTTTAAGAGCATTCGCTGATTAAATCTATAAAAAATATGGTATATAAAATGTGATTTAAAGTAGTATAACGTTTAGGTATTTATAGATTATGATAAGATTGCAATAATTCTATCATGAATCAAATAGGTAATACTTATTATAAGATAAAAATGAAATTAGAGAAAAATGAATATTAACTGAGAATATGAAATTTTTAAACGATCGATTATTTTTGATGAAAGTAAATTATGATACAAATTATTGCATTAAGTTTAAAAAATTTATTCTTCCATTCTATTTGAATATGCCTGCTAGAACATAACCTCACTTTTCTATATTAAATATAAAAGTTGCAACAAATTGTTTAATTAACTAAATAGCGATTCATAGACTGTGGAATATACAAATTACCGTTATCATGAAGACACTTAATTATGTTTAATTTCAACATCTGAATTAATCTAACTTAAGGCAAAAATATGAAAATTATCTATACTATGGAATATTAGAAATGACACTTGTACATAAACGTTTCCTATTCAAAAAGCTATCAAATTTTTTTCAATTCAAATTAATAAAGAATTTCACACTGCAATTATGAAAAATGATTACAAACTTTTTACAATTTAATTATGTCTAACTTTCAAACATGACAACCATAACCAAAAAATAACCTTTATTGAACTTCATTACACAATGTGGAAACTTGCATAGCAACCAAAATCGAAATATAAAAACATGCATTGCAGAAAACTAAATACTATAAAATCAAATTATACCTTCTTTAACGTTATCTTAACAAAATAATACAACCTCTTGCTTTATTATTATCCCAATTATCCCATTGAAAAATAAAAATCAAACACTATACGAACTCTTATGAACCATTGACTTATTGAAGAAATATTAAATTCCAATCGAGCTTTGTACAGTTATGTATCTTTATAAAGGAAGTAATGAAATCATTTAATAATGTAAGATATTAAAAAACATTAAATATATCTACATATAAAACTCTATCAAATGAAATACTCGATTACATTATCAACAGTCTTTAATGCTTAGCACTTTTATTTACACTGACTGGTCTCGTTGGGAATTTGTCTATAGTTTGCAAGTAGTCACCAGGTGATAAAGAATGACATAGAAAATCATGATGAGTATGTCAAAGACTTAAAGACCTCATTGATCAAGCTTGATACAGCTATAATTGAACTATTTAAAGCTTGGACATACCTTACGGTACATACTTCAAGAGTCGAATGGACAATGGACACCTACACGAATATACTATAGCAACAAGAGAGAATTAAAAAAATTGGAGGAAGGAAGAACAGAGAAGAATAAAATTTGCCAGCCTAAGTTCTTGCATGAGTCAATATATGTGTGCTTCAATCTGTGCGTTCACCTAAAACGAACGTGATTTGAAAATCGATGTTTTCCTGTGACGGTCGAGTGAGTAATATTATTAATTCCGCCGCTACTTTGCTGCGTATACACGCTTACCCTTCCGTTGCTTAACTGCCTTCCGTATTTTTTTTCTCCTCTATCTTTCTCGCTTTCAGACACGATTTTGCTCTCTCTCCTTGAGTCGTTGCGATGATGTTCCCCTTGCTGCCGATCTATCTCTCACTTATTCATTTCCACGCACATTTATTGCTCTCGTTTTCCCGTTCTCTCTCTCTCTCTCTCTCTCTCTCTCGCACGCGCACGCACACGCGCACGCTCGCACTCACACGCACACGCTCTCTCTCTCTCTCTCTCTCTGTCTTCACTCTCTTCTCTCTCTCTCTCTCTCTCTCTCTCTCTCTCTCACTCGGATCTTCCTCTATCTTCCTTTATATTCCTCTATCTTCCTCTATCTTCCTCAATCTCTCCACAATTCGCACTCTTTCTCCTTCTCACTACTGCAGCTTAACCTTCTTGCTCGAACCGACAGGTTGACAGTTCAGCAGCATTTCATCTGACGAAAAAGTTTCTCTTTGCCTGCCTGACTTCTTCTTCCTTCTTTTTTCTCTCCTCCGACTCTATCTCTCTCACTCCCGTTGCTGGGCTCGCCGAAAAATCGTTCCCTCTCCGCCACCTCCTCTTCGCCGTCCTGACGTCCTTCGCATGTGTGTTTACGTGTTCATGTACGTATGACACACATTGATAAGCGATCACGCATGTATATGTAATACGTGTATCTCACGGATGTCGGCGGTGATCGCCGATCGCAATAAAGAACGGCACAATGCTCGTACAGGACAAACACAGGCGGGCAAAATTACCAACGATGTTCTCGATAAATTATATCGTTATGACCTATTCGCTCTATCGCTGCTTTCGTAGGCCGCTCCACATTTCTCCTCGCGTCCGCGCGCGTGTGTGCGCCAGGAGAAACGACGATCGGACGTACTTTTCTTTTTCTGTCCTCCTCTCTTTCGCCCTGTGAGCTTTTACCGCTAACTTAGCGATTACAATGCGCGTAGACAAAAGATATTTGCCGTTCTCCCTCGTTTTTATATCAATTCTTGCCGCCCTCGTCCATCGTGGGTGTCTTGCGCGCGACGACACGACGGCAACGACGACGGCAACGGCAACGGCAACGACGACGGCGACGGCAACGGCAACGGCAACGGCAACGACGACGACAACGGCAACGGCAACGGCAACGGCAACGGCAACGGCAACGGCAACGGCAACGGCAACGGCAACGGCAACGGCAACGGCAACGGCAACGACGACGACAACGACGACAACGACGACAACGACGACAACGACGTCAACGACGACGACGACGACGACGACGACGACGACTCACGGATTTACCGACTTCACCTACACACTGCCGAATCGTACACGCGTATAGGTTATGTTCGTACGTCTGGCTGTACCATAGTCTGTACTTGCGCTCTCGGGTCTCTCCCCTTTGGCAGATGGAGTTTAAAAATGGCTGCGCCGACGTATGCATCAATGTGTATATAAAAGAGAGAGAGAGACGGACTGTGGAGGTGTATTAAGAAGGTAAGTGGCGAGAGAGAGAGAGAGAGAGAGTGAGTGAGTGAGTGAGAGAGTGAGAGAGAGTGAGTGAGTGAGAGAGAGAGTGAGTGAGAGAGTGAGAGAGAGCGAGTGAGTGAGTGAGAGAGAGTGAGTGAGTGCAGCGTCGGTTGACGACGACGAGGGGCCGTAGGAGGGCGGCAAAGGAGAAGCGAGAAAGACAGCGTAACGAGCGCGGGGGAAGAAAGAGTAAGGAGCGCGAAGGAGCGAGCGAGGGAGATAGACAAAGCGACAGAGTGGGAAAAGGAAGGCCGGGAGGTCAAAAAATTCTATCTATCAGATGGAGAGGAACTTTATAGGTGCTTATTGTGGAGAGTCCGTGTACAGACGGGTGGCGAACTCTTGCGACGTTGTCCGGACACACATTGTTACGAAAGCCAATGGTAGACTATTTTTTCAAGACATGTGTAGAATAAGAGAATTTGAAGTTGGCGGTGAGATGTCCAGCAAACACAATTGACAGGCTTTTTCGAATTTAGCGCCCACTTTGCGGGCCTTGGAGCGTTCGTTCGCTTCCCCTGCACACGTACACGGCCAACACAGGCACGCGTGGCCATGCATGCATGTTGCTTCAATCCGCATGTACGCATCCATTTATGACGAGAAACACAGGCGCGCACGCACACGCGCACGCACACGCACTTTTGATATAAAAAGAAAAATATTTTCAATTTTGTTTATTAGACGCTTGAACGATATTAAGTAAAATTAAGGATTTGAAGTAAATTAAACAAAGATCTCTGCTATTGTTTATGTATAATACATTTTATTAGATAATATTCATGCGATAAAATGTATCGCGATTATCGCATTTAAATCTATATGTCACATACAAATCCAATTGTATGTATTAATATACACGTATTTTTATCAGGCGATTAGATATTAGAAATAATATTAGAGTTAAAGTTAAAATTTAACAATTGCTTAATAATCACTTAGATGTATTTTAATGAAAAGTAATTTATAATATAAATTATATTGATACACATTCTCTAATATATTGATAAAATCAATTTTAATTTTTATCGATATATAACCGTTTCAGTTTTCACTGTTTTCAGTTCAGAAACAATTAAAAAATTCAATTTTCGTTGACAAACTCATTATTATTTTCTATTTTTTGTAAATATTACGGGTGTGTTTATTTTATCTATATTTCCTAAACATTACGATTCACATTGTGTTGGGAACAAAATGTGTATTTACTGTTTATTTTGTTTGTGAAGCTACTGTCATCGAAGACGAATAATTTTATCAATGATGTAAAGACTTTGATTAGACATTGATAGATTCTTTAAGAAGATGTTCTAGTATTGTTATGATGATTATCTGACAATATAAAATCAAATCAGTAATATGAAGATATAAATGGAATTTGGCAGCGAATATTGAAAAACGGATTCATTTATATTTTATGCCAAATATCTGTTGCGTCTTAATTTTTGTTTTATTAACGTAAAACTTTTATAATCGATTCCTTCATATAATGTTATATAAGGTACAAATAAAATATCTTTCGATATACACTGAATACTTATTCTTCTCAATTTATATACGTGTGTGTGCGTGTGCGTGCGTGCGTATGTATATCGAAATAATTATCTAATTTTCATACATATTATATTATTCTATTTTCAACTTATTCACCGTTCATGTAATATTATCTTTAATTAATATAATACTATAATTTTATCTTATGTGAGATAGTATATTGCTTGGAATAAGATAATGTAAGTATAATAATTTATAATTATAATCTAATTCTGCTATTTCTAACTATTACAATTAAATAAAGTTGAATATAATAAATACTTTATAGTCAACTGTTAAATAAAAATTCAAAATTTGAATAGATTTTTATTGTAAAATGCTACAAATAAATTTAAATAAAATTGTTTATTTATAAATATGCTACTCTACGTGTTTTTCGTACATATGAATACTTAGATTTGAACGGTAAGTATTTTTCCAATATATACAAATATGACTAATGTATATGAAGAGAAAAAAAAAACTATTAAAATTTTTAATCTGTTAAAAATGTGTTCATTGTCATTCATAACTTTTCATAATTTACCTACTATTTTCTTTTAAAAATGTTTGATTGGATAAGTAAGAAAAATTTTACTCTATTTTATAAGGTATATTATATCTATAATTTTATACTTACTTATTTTACGTACACGACTGACTTTTTTTATTAGTTGCATATACTTTAAGAAAATGTATGAAAAAAAAAAAAAAAACGTTATATTCTCTAATTATCTCATTGTTTTTATATACGCATTTTACAAATTAAAAAATACATATAATAAAGACAAAAATAGTTGATTATTATCGTGAAGGTGAAAAACATTATCTAATTATTATACTCATATAACATAACACATTAACATAATTAGTATTTTATTTTATAATGATATGATTATTCATAGTTTTAATATATAATTTAGAAATTTATATTATTAATATCACACTCAAGCAGACACAATAATTGTATGATTGTAAATATTTTTAAATTAATTAAATTATGTGTAAACCATACCATTAAATTACACCATTAAATAACCTAATACCTGTTACTCTAATAAATTCTTTTAATTGCAACCTTTCTCAAAATTTTACTAAAAAAATTAAAATTAAAATTTAAGTAGAGATCTTATGTTTTAAATATTTTATTTAACTTGAGAAAAATATTAAGATATTTACTATATTTGTGTATTCTATAACTATTATTATAATCTTCGTGTAGTTTATCATAATATTAATGTAGATTTCGCACAATGTAATTGTAATCTTAAAATCTTGATACTTTTTAAATTCACTTTAATTTTAATATTATATTATATATGAAAAAGAAACCCCAAATAAAATCAAATTTGAAATAATCTTTAATCCAGGAGAATATTTATACAAAGTAAGTGATAAAAAGATTAGAAGAATAATTTTATTAAGTTAAATTATTATTAAATTAATGTTATTTGTGTTGCACTATTTAATTTCTATAAGCATTAATATTTTTAATTAAAATTACTTCCAAATTAATTTCATTACGATTAAAAAAAAAAAAAAAAAAAAAAAAAAAAAAAAAAAATAGCTAATACATTAAATTTTTTATTTTAATGAATACGAAAAGCTAATTTTCAATAAGGTTCATTTTATATTATTCGACAGAGAAAAATCCAAAGTCTACGTGAGGTAAATCCTGACAGAAACGAATAGCACTGTTTTACAATTTAGATAAATTTACTTAGCTGGATTCTTCGAGTAATATTGCGAATTCTAATAGATGCAAAAATACTGTTAAGAAGTTTCGAAATCATTATAAGCCATCTAGGTCGGAAGACTTATGTTGGCAATGTAAGTTAAACTAAAATCTGTACAGATACAATTATTCTTTTTTTTTTTTAACGGTTACAGACTACTTAACTATTTTATATTCATTTTTTTTTTTTTTTTTTTTTTTGTCCATAGATCTCATTGAATATTAATTTAACATTTATTCTCTTAATTTCTTATTTTTAGATCAGTAATATTGATATTTCTTGAAAACCTTTAATACTGTATTAACGTACAAGTAATATTTTATTGTAATATTTTTCAAATAATTTTATACATTATTTGTTATTTGTTTCAAAACTCGCTTTTTTACACATAT